TGAAGCCCAGAGTGCATTTGTCAAAGGAAGGCTCATCTCAAGTAGTATTCTTTTAGTACATAAACTCATTAAGCACTATGACAAAAAATATACATCTCCTAGAGCCATTTTGAATATTGATTTGAGAAAAGTATTCAATACCATCAGTTGGGATTTTATTAGGTGCATGTTAACAGGCTTGGGGTTCCCTGACAACTTTGGATCATGGAATGCATCTCCTCTCCAAAGTACTCTCTATCTATTAATGGTACACTACATGGATATTTTTAAGGAGCAAGAGGATAAGGCAAGGAGATCCATTATCCCCCTATTTGTTTGTAATAGGAATGGAGTACCTGTCTAGAAAACTTAACACTCTCCAAGAAGACATGCTTTACAAGTTTCACCCCAAATGTTCTAGAATGAAAATCACACATCTAATTTTTGCAGACGGCCTCCTCTTATTTGGCAAAGATGATATGTACTCTATATCAAGGTTGAATGATTGTCTCATGGAGTTTAGTTTGGTTTCTGGTTTGGAACCAAACTCAGCCAAATGCTCAATATACATGAGTGGTATTAGAGATGATTTGAAGACTCAAATATGCAATTACCTAAATTTCTCAGAGGGGTTATTACCAGTAAGATATCTAGGTGTCCCTCTCATCTCCAAGAGGCTCTCATGGCTGGATTGTTCTTCTCTCATAAATAAGGTGTCAGATTAATTTTAAAATTGGCACTACAACAGAGCATTGTCTTATGTAGGAAGATTGTAGCTGATTAAGTCAGTTATCATAGGAATTCAAATCTTTTGGACAAACAATTATATATTACCTATTAAAGTTCTAAAAAAGATTGATAACATGTGTGCTGATTTTCTCTGGGGACATAAAAATTCATTTGGTGTCCTGGTCATCTATCTGCCAAGATTTGAAGAATGGTGGATTGGGAGTCTATTCGGCAAAATTCTGGAACTATACATTTGTAGATAAGCTCTTTTGGATGATACATCTCAAAAAGGACAATCTTTGGATCAAATGGATGCACGACAGCTATCTGAGGCAATCAAATATTTAGGAAGTTCAACCTAAAGAGAATGATTCATGGATGTGGAAGCAAATGCTAAGGGTAAGAGATACAATTAGAATAAAATTTGGAAATGTTGATAACCTATTAAACATCCTCAATGGCTGCTGTGATAATGGAAATATCAGTATATCTTCCATATATAGGAAGATCAATCAACAAGCATCATTAACTATATTCTCTGAAGCTATTTTTTTTTGGGGGGGGGGGTGGTATTATCCTAAGCACTCATTTATCATGTGGCTTGCCTCTCTATCTAGGCTACTAACACAAGAAAGATTGTGTAGATTGCGAATACTAAACACTAACCAATGTGTTTTGTGTTCAAGCAATCATCAAATGGAATCCTGTCATCATCTCTACTTTGAATGTCAATATTTTGCAAATGTATGGAACAAAGTTATGGACTGGCTTGGATTTAACTGGAGGTCATGTAGCTAGAATCAGCTTGTAAACTAGTACAATATGAACTTGAGAGGGAATGGATTTAAGAAGAAATTAAAGAGGATGTCTTTATCGACTTTAGTGTACATGATATGGCAGGAAAGGAATCTCAGAATTTTTTAGCAAAGTGCTCGAGAACCTGACATATTGTTCCATATAGTAAAGTTCATCATTTACTCAAAAATTTTGAATGAGAATGTTCCAATACATGTAAGGGAGTACTTAGAAGGATTGTTTTGAGTAGCCTGAGTGTTTTTACTAGGTTCTGTTGATAATTTGTGATGTACTTCTTAACTGCTTACTTGGTAAATGAATAAAATCTTTTTTCATTGACCAAAAATAAAGTGTTGTACGATCCCCACTTTTTTAGAATCTATCGAGTGTTAGCAACCTCGTGTGCATAACAAGCCAGAGAATAAAAGATTGCTTAGGTTTATTGAGTTTGTCCCATACTGTTACCAATTGCATCTGTGGCGAAAGATTTACAACTCATTTTATATAAGGGGGTGTTAGTCAATTGGGACATTTTCATGCAAAATGGGATAATTGTTAAAGTAAAATAATTTTTCGCTAGTGGGATATTTTAGTAGGATAAATAGGAACAATTTTGTGAAGTGGGATATTTTGATAAAATAACATGTGATAAATTTTTATAATCATAAAATATATATTTATGCATTTTGAAGATATAAATACTATTTATGTATTTTAAACTTACTATTATAGATTGATAATTGCTTATAAGAATGTTCTTTACTATTAAATAACTTTTGGTTAGACTATAAGATATTAACAATTATTATTATCATGATGGTCTAATGATGGTGATAACCATAATAGGAAAGAAGTAAAGAAAAAAAAGAAATATAAAAAATAAAAAATTACAAAATAAATATGAGTTCTAGTTTATTACCTCATAGTTCCAAGCTAAAATTTGGAATAATTTGAGAGACTAGAATTCTTATTTTTGTATAGAAAAATAAAAAAGTGGGATAATTTTGTACCATTATCCCAATTCTAGTTTTGTTAGAGTTCTACTTGACAAACACTGTAAAATTTTGTTCTAGTTTTAGTTTTATGTGACTAACACCTTAAAAATTTATCCCACAGATTATCTCAGTTTCAATTTAAAGTTCTAGGTGACTAACCCCCCACCCCACCCCACCCACCCACCCACCCAAGAGAACTTTTAATACTTCTAGCAATATAACAACTTTACAATTTAGTTTTCATACCATAAATAGAAACCCGTATTTGAGTAGCCATATCCCTACTCCTCAATATCTGCAAAGCCAAATTTCAAATAAACAAATTTTATTTTTCTAAATAAACCCTTTTTTCAACTGAAAAAAGGAGACGATGATTAATTTGGATTCTGCACTTGAATGAGCCACAATACGATGTTTCTTGGCACTATAAAAGGGAAGATTTGTGTTAAGAAAGATACTAAAAGTGTCTATCATTTGTCGATCTTCCATGATTCCTATCAAATCATCATTAGGGGAAGCACGAAGAAATGTAGAAGAGATGATGTGAGATGAAGATCCATCAAATAGTTGACTTCAAGTACCTTATGATGCCCTCTACAGCGGCCTAATGTACTTGAGTTGGGCTGCGCATAAATTAGCAAACTCGATTGGCGTCAATTAACGAGATCGAATTGGACAAGTCAACGTAAGTTGTGAAGCAGCAACCACAATGAGATACTTCGAAGGATTATCAAATAATTCAGAATCATAAGAGATAAATAAGGATCAGACATCAGCGGCGTACCTATAGGTTTAGCAACAGTCATTTTCATAGAGAATACTTTACATAAATGAACTGAAATTTTGTGAGAAGTAAATCACTGAAGCGCGTTGGCCTCAATATCTAAAACGTAGTGTGCAATCAAACTAGATCCTTCATGACAAATATAGTCTGGTGAGAGCAAATTAGACTAGGTACGCGAGTAGAGGGAGAACATGTAGGATGATGTCTTCAGCGTTAACTAGAAGAAATACAACAGACGAGGTTGTGCTGATAAACATAGAGGAACAAACCTAAGAGCGTACTAAACCCAAGCCTATGTAGTGCAGAGAAATAGAAAAGCCAAGATTTATTCAGCCAATATATTATTCATCTAACCCCAACTTCTCTTAAATAGAGGTTAGGGGGATATTACAACATAGATATATAATAAAATCATATCCAATCATATCTCCCAATATCTTAACAACATCTCATAATATATTCCTTAACATTCCCCCTCAAGTTGGAGCATGTATATCATATATGTCCAGCTTGTTACAAATAAAGTGCAGACACTCTAATCTGTGATAATACTTCAAAAAACTCAAAGCAGCCTTGATCTTTTTATCTTTCACTTGGATGTCTTCTAATTAGTTGATCCCCTCTGGGGCTTCATCGATCAAATGTTCCTTGAAGGATCCAAGCAACAAATGTTCCTTTTTAGGATCTAACAACAAATGATCATTCTTTAAAGGATCCAACAATAAATGATCATTCTTTAAGGATGAAGGATCCAACAATAAATGATCCTTTTTTTAAGGAACTGACAAATAAATGATCCAAGAGTGGAGTTGACTTTGGGCCCACGAAGAGTCGGCCCTAATTGGAGTGGATGATAAACAGTAATCTGCGAATATGAACAATAATCTGATGATATAAATATTATTGGTGTAGGGATGAAGAGCAACCTATGGACAGTAAATTGATGGATGAATAGTCTGGTGAGCAGTAGTTGGTGGACAATATTTCGATGTCGCGGCCGCCGAAGGGAAGCATGAATTTTTTGGCAAGAAGCCCCCTCGATGGTTCTATATATGGACAATGAAAAAAAAGGTCTCTCTGGGATCAAGAGGATGACTCTAATACCATGTAAAGAAATAGAAAAGTCAAGATGTTATTCATCTAGCCCAAACCTCACTTAAATGGAACTTATGAGAATATTACAAAATAGGTATGAGTACAATCATATCCAATCGTATCATCCAATATCTCAATAATATCTCATAATATATTCCTTAACATGTAGAAATTATTAAGGCCAATGAACCAAGCCCATGAAGCTTATTTGAGGCCACATAGAGAACAACATAAACAACATAAAGTGCGGATACGGAGGGTTAGAAAATCTCGATGGTTGCTTCATGAAAACAATCTCATTATTATTCAGTTATTGGTTGCTAAATCGTTCATGAGAGAAGAATTTAGCAACCTTGCGAGCTTTATACCTTTCTACATAACCATCAATGCTGTCATTTCTCCTTGAACACCTATTTGCATTCAATAACATATTAAGAAGATGGTGATGCGACAAGGTCCCAAGTACCATTAGAGATCAAGTCACTTTACTTGTCAGCAGAGGCGTGGCTGACAATTTGGGGGCCCTGTTCTAAATTTCAATCGGGGCCTCTTAATCAATTTTCAGAAGAAACTAATAATTGTTTTTATACGTAGTACTAACCATGGAAAGAAATTTTTATATCTAGAATTAAAACAAACATTAAGACATAACAATGGTTCTATGCAAAACATATCACGTGCAAAATATTAATAGTAAAAAAAAGATACACAAAATCAACATCTTACTAATAATCTTGACATGTCCGACAAGCTTGTTGAGATTTTTAGTTGCCTTCCCTTCGGTCTTCGACGTTTTCCTCGATGACCTAATCGACCACACAATTGAAAACAAAATAAACATCCCTGAGAATAACATCTCTAGTTCCGGGAATTTCCCGTCTTTGTTTTCTTGTTTCTTTCCGTCTTCCAAATCACAGAAAAAGAAGAAGTATATGCTTTAAATTAAGAAATACATTCAAGGAGGAGACTATGAAATGCATTGTTTGTCATAGTTGCAAATGTGCCTCAAATACACCAAACTGAATCAATTTTTCATTATAGTGTCATATTGAAAAACAAACCTGCCATGACTCTTCACCTTTGAAAACATATAAGAAGTGTGTTTTCTTCACATCAGGTAGAACCGTCTTGTTCCCTCCTTGGCACTTAAAATATATAGTTGGTCTTGTAGGTAGCCATTCATGAGTATTAAAGATTTCAATTGAACCAAGAGTAACAACCCTGGATGACGAAATTCCTGCAAAAGTGACAGTAGCAATAACAAGAACGAGATTGTCAGATGAAAACAGTAGACAATCTTCAATTGTAATGAACATCAATAACTTTTTACACAATTTGCAAACTGAGTTTATTCCTAATGAATCCAAATAACTAAGAATGCCACATAAATCAAAGAGAAAAGGAAGCATATGGTCGGCACCGGCGCCTCGCCGATCGGCAAATAATCACGAGATCCGTCAGGTTGAGGCTTGAGCGTTGTAAAGCACAGTGCGGACCGACATTGAGACCTCGGATTCGGGAACGCAATTTGCGAAGAAGAGACTGTAGTCATCGGCGAGGGCGATCGGAAAAGCCCGATTGTAGGAGATGAAGGGAGGTGGGGAGAGATCTCGAAAGGTGAAGAGGAGGCGGATGTAGGGGCTTGAGAGGATGCACGGGCTAGGGTTAGGGTTTTGGGGCTGGTCGTCGGCGATTAGCGTTTGGAGGAGGTTGGAGGAGGAGTGGAGGAAGAAGCCGAAGAGGGAGGGGTCGGCGGAGGAGACGGAGGAGGATAAGGTGGCCTCGGCGACGGCGATGTTAGCGGCGCCATCGGAGGTGAATCCGAATTTCTCGAAGAGGATCAGAGGGCGGGAGTCGTCGGCGATCTTGAAGTCCTTGATCTCGGCGAAGGCGGCGGACGCGAGGAAGAGAAGATGAAAGCGGCGACGAGATTAGGATTCTTCATTGCCTAAGATCTTTTTTCTTCTGAATTTTTTTCGAATTTTGCTTGACCTTTTTTTTTCTTCTTCTGTTCTGCGTGATTTGGGGGGCGGCTGGGTAGGGAGGAGGGGATTTTGCGCGATTCGGGGCCCCCCCAAATGTGGGGCCCTGTTCTGCGGAACCGGGTGCACCGCCTCAGCGGCGCCCCTGCTTGTCAGTCATGGGCATGCACCATCGGTGATCATGAGCAGTCTGAGATAAACATGTAGGCTCAATGTGAGCATCGTAGATGGTGAAAGCCACTGAATACTTATTGTGGTGTCCCATCTTCAGATCAAGTCTATAGCATGAGTGAAATCTCGAGCCCAAATAGGAGCATGACAAGGCATATTGACTTGCAGCAAAAAACGAGTCGATCTTCCAAATTGTATGTAGGAATATGATGAATAATATGTGAAAATCGCATATTTTTTTCAAGATGAATCTATCAAACCAGCCATGTCCGATTCATCATCGTCCATTTCACGAAATTTCATATGGATTGAGAGACATCAGACTTTTTGTCATTTTTCTAGTAAGTTTAGGAAATGAATCCGGTTTAGTCTTATATTTGACCTACTGATTTTCTCAATCTAATGTAGTCTTTTCGGGTAGTTTTGTTACTTTCTTTCTTGAATAAATTTGGGGTCCTAGTAAGATTCTGCTTTATTATTCTATTTAAGCAGAGAATTGTATATCCTATAAGTATCACTATATTTGTTAATACTATTTTTTAAATATTTCTTCTTCAATATTTCTTCATGGATTTAGAGTTTGTATATGGTTCCAAACATTATTTTCCGAGTATTTAAAAAAAAAATCCTTTAATGGATTCCGATATTTTAACTTTCGCGCTTGTTAAAAATCCAGCAATTTTTCGTTGATAACTCGAGGTAAATGGTAGCTGTAAAAACTAAGAGGTATCTACCACGGAAAATTTGCCCACTGTCCAATTGTAGTAAAGATTATCCGAATCCAGAAACAGAGTCGATCCTCTCCCCGTCTACATACACATTCGTGTGCTGTCAATAAATGCTTTAATATATAGAGTCACTAGCAGCGCAACGGAAACTGACCGAATTGATTTTGTTGGTGATATGATAAGAATACTACTGCGGCCTGCCCGTGACCGTGGCTCTCTATCTCCCCCTCGTTGCCTTACGATCCGTCTCTCTCCGGGCTCCTCTCTCTCTCTCACCAGTCAAATTCCCAACTCCCCACGTACAAACAATCCCTTGGGCCTTGGCCGGCGACAACTTGATTCCCCCCACCCCCCGACTCCAATGCGCGCTCTCTCTCTCTCTCTCTACCATTAACGTACTCCACATCTTTCTCTCTCCTCTCGCAAAATCCCTAGCTAGCTAGCTACTGCCCTTTCCTCCTCAGCTTCTTCTCTCACTAGAATTCTCCCTGCCGCCGCTCGACTTAATCAATCAATCAACCTCCTTCGCCCGCTCTCTTCGTATCATCACACGAAAAAACCATTAAAAGAAAACCCCCCTGCGACCCTGATGATGCAATTCTCAGAAAACGCGCCACCACAAGCGCCGCCGCCTAATCTCCACCCAGACGCCCTGGGCCTCTGCCTCGACCTCCCTCCGCCAAACCCACCACAAGGCCCACAACCAACCCATGGCCCACGTCTACCAAACTCTCCAACACCACCGCCTTCAGCTCCGCCTCCTGCATGGAGCACCTCCTCGTCCACTGCGCCTCGCCGTGGACCGCAACGACCCCACCTGTGGCCACCAGCCCATGTGGTCCTCAACACCATCGCTCCTCCGACGGCGACTCCCACCAGCGCTAACCTCTGCCTTCCTCCGCTCTTTGATTCTCCGCGCTTCCAACTCCGGCCGCCGCCTGCCCTGCCACCTGTCCCTCTCCCACGGCGATCTCACCCTCCATCGCTTCTCGCCCCTCATCTCGCTTCTTTCGTCGATCTAACTCCGTTTCATCGGTTTGGGTACTCTGCTTGCTAATGCTGCCATCTTGGACGCCGTCGGAGAACTTCCCTCTTCTACATGTTGTCGATCTGTCGACGACGCACTGCATGCAGATGCCAACGCTCATTGACGCCCTCGCTTCTCGGCCGGAGGGCCCGCCCTATATAAAAGCTCACCGTAGCCCTGCCCTGATCGGCAGCGGCCTCGTCCATCTCCCCTCCGCCGCTGCTGGGCTGCTCCTTATGAAGATGTCTCGGCGCTCGCCTTTGTTACTTCGCTCGATCACGAAATATCGGGATGGAGTTAGGGTAATTCCCTCCACGCCTGCGGACGGATTCGAAACCTTAATGGAGCAGTTAAAGCTGCAGAAAGTGGTCGGACCGCCGCCGGACATCAGCGAAGCGCTAGTGGTCAACTGTCATATGATGCCACATTATATCCCTGACGATGAAGCGTGTTCGCCGTCTGGATTATCGCCGAGGTCGATGTTCTTCAAGAATCTGCGTGAACTAGAGCCTATGCTGTTAACGCTAGTCGACGAGGATGTTGACCTAACAGCCAATGATGTGGTGACGAGACTGGGAGCGGCATTCAATTACCTGTGGATACCGTATGACGCGGTGGATACGTTTCTGCCGAGGGGGAGCGAGAGGAGGAGGTGGTACGAGAGCGAGATAGGGTGGAAGATAGAGAATGTGATAGGGTATGAGGGGCTGGGGAGGTGAAGGGGATGTTGGATGAGCATGCGGCAGGGTGGGGGCTGAAGAAGGAGGAGGAGACTGATTTGGTGCTTACATGGAAAGGCCATAATGTTGTGTTCGCTACTGCTTGGGTGCCTTGTTGATGGAGGGGATTCGGTTGTATTTTGAATTTCATGGATGGATTTAAGAGGTTTTTTGCTCTCTCTCTCTCTCTCTCTCTCTCTCTCTCTCTCTCTCTCTCCCTCTCTCTCTCTCTCTCTCTCTCTCTCTCTTTCTCTCTCTCTCTCTCTCTCTCTCTCTCTCTAGCTAACACACATACACGCTTACACATACATGTGTTCTTGCTTCACACAAGTGTATATTGAATCAAGTACTAGATTTTAAGTGCTTTAACAAGTCAATTATTATTCTAGGTTTTGAACGTACTAAATGAACATGTTTAAACACATGAAATTGGGTGATAAAGATGAAGGTATCAAGTTAATTCTTGGGTGCCTTCTTGAGGAAGATGAAGGTGAAGAAGTGACCGAATTGGATTGTATATGAATTTCATATGGATGTAAGAGGTTTAATTTGCTCTCTCCCTCTCTCTCTCTCTCTCTCTCTCTCTCTCTCTCTCTCTCTCTCAAGTTTTTTTTTTCTCTCTCTCTCTCTCTCTCTCTCTCTCTCTCTCTCTCTCTCTCTCTCTCTCTCTCTCTCAACCAAAATCTAATTAACACAAATTAAGTTATATTAGGAATTTTATTGTCGGCTAGGGATTGAAGGTAATGTTGCAAGTAGTGGTTTTGATTATTTCATTCAGAATGGATACATTCATATTTGAGAATGACTATCACTTTCTTTTGGATTTTTTTGTTTTTTCTCTTGTACTTCATGGTCAATGAATACTTTAGTTGTATTTTTCCACGTAATTATTTTTCTCTCTTACAATATCATGTACATGAGTTTCTATGTACCGCTATATGTTTTCAGTTATTCACTGGTCATATATTCTGCTCATGCTGCCAGAAGGTTAACCCTAGCAAGATTAGTACAAGAGCAAATTATTTTAAGAATATATATACAGTGCTTTCGATTTGAGAAATGGTTGCCTCTAGGGTTCAGATCATTAATTTGTAGGGAATCGAAGTAAACAGGGAGTAGATTATATAGAGACTAGAGAGAAAAGATTAAGAATATAATTAAGACCACAATTTTTTTTTTGGTCAATGAATAGTAACTTTTATTCATCTTCCAAATGTGAAAATACAGCATATCAAGATCTCAGTTGCACTGAGAATTACAAAACATTCCAAAACACTTACATCTCATTTACTCAAGCCTACAAAGCACATATCCATTCTCTATTTTCAACAGCAAAAGGACCATTAAGAATAATAGCAAAAATGTTGAATTTGATCTCTTTGAACAGTTGATCAACTGACTTCAATTCATGCCGAAAAACCCTGGTATTCCTCTCATTCCATATGCTATAAATTGTTGAGGTAAGAGCCAATTTCTTTAGTTTTTGCTTAAAGCCTCTCCCCCTCAACCCGGAACAAAACCAGTTCAAAACGTGATCCCACTTGCACGATCGCCACCTGAACTGTAACCAGCTCATAACCTTTACCCAGACATCACTAGAGTAGCAACATTCGAAAAAAAGATGATCTCTGCTCTCAGAACCAGAGCAAAACCTGCAGCAATTTATATTAATAATACCCCTCCTAATCAATATGTCTTGAGTGAGCAAACGGTTCTGAATTGCTAACCAACTGATAAATGAGTGCCTGGGGTAATTAGAGGACTCCCAAACTATGCCAAACCAGGGCACCAAGGTAGATACAGAGGAGATAGCATCATATAAATCAGACAGTTGTATTTTTGAATTCCTGCAACAAGACTGAATGATCAACTTCGGATTATCAACACTTCCAAAATGTCCCTGGGCCTTATCCCTGACCTTCAAGATCTGTCTCCACATCCACGAATCACTATTTTTTACTTGAACATGCCAGACATCACAGTTTTTTAAATATGTACCATGTATCCACTTGATCCATAGGCTTTCTTTGCTTACATGTATATTCCAGAGTAACCTCAGTGTTGTAGCCATACTCCATCTAGATGCAGAATAGATGCCTAGGCCTCCAGATTTTTTATTCAAGCAAATTTGATCCCATGAAATAAGAGGAGTTTTGTGAGCTTGTTCAGAGTTGCCCCAAAGAAAATTCCTGCATAGTTCATCAATTTTCTGAAGCACTCTCACTGGCAGAACATAATTAGAAATCCAGTAATTTTGTATACCAAGGATAACACTTTTGATTATTTGTAATCTTCCTGCATAAGAGAGAGATCTGTTTTTTAAACAAGACCGGAATTGACCTGCTATCTTGCTGAAGAGAGTAGAGCAATCCATGTAAGATAAACATTTACAGATCAGAGGAACACCTAGATATGTGATGGGTAAAACTCCTTCAGAGAAGTTTAGAAGGTTTGAAACAAGGCCTTTCAGATTATCATCAATGCCTCCATAAAAAACTTTGCATTTTCCAGGATTTGCCTCAAGACCTGATACAGCACTAAAATGTTTAAAGCACTTGTAAAGCAGATTGACTGAATGAAGATCACCTTTAGAAAAGAGGAGAAGGTCATCCGCAAAGATTAAATGAGTGATTTTGAGATTTCCACATCTAGGATAGAATTTGAAAGTCCTATTATCCTTGAGTAAATCCAACTGCCTTGAGAGATACTCCATGCCCAAATTGAACAAGTATGGTGAGAGGGAGTCACCTTGTCTTAAAGGCCTCTCACCTTTGAAGTAGCCATGAAGGGTGCCATTTAAAGAAATGGAATACTTGGGGGGTAGTAATGCATACCATAATCCAATTAACCATCTTGACTGGAAAACCAAGGCCTTTAAGCATATCATTTAGAAAATCCCAGTTAATAGTGTCAAATGCTTTTTTGATATCAATGCTCAACATAATTCTGGGAGAGATATGTTTTCTACTATAGTTTTTCACTATCTCATGAGCTAGTAAGATGTTACTTGATATTTGTCTACCTCTCACAAAAGCACTTTGAGCCTCGTTGATCAAAATCCCCATAACAGGTTTAATCCTGTTGGCTAGAATTTTAGAAATTATCTTATAAAGACAATTGCAGCAGGCAATGGGTCTGAAATCAGATGGAGTCTTAGGACACTTTATTTTTGGAATCAGAGTGATTGATGTAGCATTGATCATTCCCAGAAGCTTACCAGTTCTAAAAAAATCATTTATGGCTTTTGTTACCTCATCCCCAATGATATGCCAGGCAGATTTATAAAATGCCATACTATACCCATCAGGCCCAGGAGCTTTATCATCACCCATGGAGAAGACTGCACTTTTAATTTCCTCTTTGGACACTGGAGAAGACAAGGAACTAGCTTGAGCCTCATCCAGACATGGACCATTGGAAATAATATCAGCATCAGGCCTAGATGTTTTTGTAGTTTTAATTAAGACCACAAATTGGTTTAATTAAAACTACATAATTAAACTACAAATTTCTTTGCTAAGAATGCATGGGCACACATACAAAAAGTTAGAACGTATGAAATGTAAAAGCTTTTTTGCATTTGTGATGATGGAAATATTATAGTTCTCTATGTCAAAATTAATGCTTTCTTAGTTATCTTTTATTTAGTACTAGAAATCTGACATGTGCAAATGCATGTTATAGTAAGAAATTATTTTACATTTTTAATATAAAAAATAATTTATCCTATTTATTGAATGTGTGAATTTATAGTGAATGTATAAAGGGTGAGGATTAGATGATTTTCTCTGAGAAATTATATTTTTATCATTATTATTTGACCTTGGTATTTTTTTACTAATTTTTCTTATATATATAAAATAATAATAATAATATAGATTTATCAAAGAAACTTGACGCTATCATTTGAAGTATATCTACCGTTCAAAAAAATGATCACTTTTTCTTTGTTTCATTTATAAAATAAAATACAACAGATATGTGGGTTCAACTATTATTTTCAAGTCATTGAATAGTCTACAATGTTCTTAAAAAAAGAGAAAATTAAGGTAAGGAAAAAGAAAAAGAAAAATCTTCTTTATAAAATTACCTTTTTACTCTTTGCATTACAATGGAAATGAGGACATGTCCATCCATCATCTAAAATTTTGACTGTCCATACTTGGTTTTCTATATAGTAGTATAAATGTAATTTAAGTCTATGTTGTGCGTTTGATTTACGCGTGAGTTATGTAATGGGTCATGTGACTTGCATAAGTTGTACTATGTAGATAGTGTCACATGGATGGCTAGGATGTAATTAGTCGAAAGAACAAGGGATTTATAGTTAAGTGAGTTTGCCCTGAGATATTTTTTGTGATATGACGAGAATATAAAAAACTATCTCTCCCCCAAATTCCTCTAAGCCCTCTTCTCCTACTTCTCTACAAATCCTCAAACTCTTCATTATTGGCCAAATCAAGACCAACATAATTGGTATCAGAGCTTAGGTGGATCATCTTTATTGGTTTGAGCAAAAGGAGTAAGAAACCAATTCAGGAAAAAGAACAAACCCTTGAGAGAGATTTTAATAGCAACTTCCTCAAGTATGGGTATGAACATCAATCAATCGTTTATTCCTATTTTTTGGTGGAAACTATGATTATTGGAGTATCAAAATTAAAACACTCTTCATCTCACAAGAGACTTGGGATTTGGTGGTAGATGGATTTGAAGAACTAACTACATCTACAACTTTAACCAACAGTGAGAGAGAGAACAAGAAGAAATATGCCAAATCCCCCCTTTTCTTCATTCAACAAGCAATATCGAAGAAGGTTTTTCTAGGAACCATCGGAGCCTCTAAATCTAAGGAGGCATGAGACATCTACGATTGGACTTTCAACGAAACAACCAAGGTGCAAACCATCAAACTTCAAACTCTTAGAAAGGAGATTAAAAATTTGAGAATAAAAGAGAATGAAAGTAGGAAAGATTACATCTCTAAAATTAAAAATTAAGGATATTGTTAATCAAATGAATAGTTATGATGAAAAGATTAATATGTGAGAAAATTTTGATTAGCCTTCCACTAAAGGCTGATATTATTATTGCTACGTACTGTTGAGATTTGGAAAGGCCTATTAGGAAGATGAGTTAAGCTAATATATTTGAACCCAATTAGGTCAAAAAGTATTGCTTATTGGACGATGAATCTTAAGCATATTTAGCCATCTATTCATCTTACTCTCCATCCGATATAGGACTAAATCTCACTTCATGCCTTTTACCAAACCAAACCTCACGTAATCGAATGGATGTGAGACAACTGCCTTATAGCTATCATTGAAGAAACTAAAGATATCTCTATTTTGAGTGCACATGAGTTGATGGGTCTCTTGAATTTCATAATCAAACAATAGTGAAACTTTAAGATGTGAAAGAAATGCAAGAGGAAGAGGAAGAAATGCAAGAGGAAGAGAAAGAAACAACTTTTAAGCAAAAAAACTATGAAGGAAATCAAGCTCGATGTAATATTGCAAGATGTCTTCTCATGTTGAAAAAATATT